CCCCTAATAAGATAATCTTCCGGAAGGGGTCGCTTGTCAGCAGCATCTTGTTGCGGAAAGTCGAGTCGTTCTATAGGCAATTCTATGTTATCAGTCTTCGCGAGCGTGTTTAGGAAATCGGCAAGGGCTTCCCACGGCACATGCTCGAAGATAGCCGAGCAGTCGTAGTTAAGGGAAGAAACCCTAGTTAGAAAGACAAGCAAACAATGGATATGCGGAAAGACATTCTTGTCTCCAATGCGTTGAAGAGTCAATCTGAAAGTAGAGAACGTGATGCGTAAAGCATAAGCGAAAGTCAGTTGCGCAACAAGCTCAAGCTGACGAGCAAGGACGTCTTCGGTATCTTCCTCTGGCGGTGGCGTGATAACTCTAACGTTATCATCGTTTGGGCCGCCTTGCGGTCGGGTGAAAGCCTCGATTCCTCTTTTAAACTTGATGTCAAAATACTTACGAAGGACTGCACCTTCTTCTCCGTGGCTAAAAAGACTGGAGATGTTTATTACAGCGACGTATATGCCTTGATCTCCCCATTTTGCAGAGACCCGACCGATATAAGGGTCCAACTGGCGGAGATAATCATCAGTAGTAGCATCAAATGTCTCAAGACATTCTTTGGTAATCAGCATACCATGAGCCTTGATGTATATTATGTCAATATCGGCTGCATGCGCGTACGCTGTACGCGTTCTACCAATACGAGATCGAGTAATGTCATGATTGAATCTCGGGTACCCGCAAAAGGCTGAATGCATGCGAGAGAGCGCGAATAGAAAAACAGCTGCTGTAGGGCATATGGACGGGCGAGAATGGCCAAGAGGTGATACAAGCGACCAACGGTAGGGTTCTCGTCCGCGGCTTCGCCATACCATGAACGACCCATACCAGCCCAGACCTCACGGTCACGCATATCTTCGTCTTCAATGGCCATACGATACCTAGAGATGTCTCCGAGGCATTCCCTCCATGTATCGCTAAAAACAGGTACTGTCTCGTACAATAGTGCAACGATGTGGTAGGCGAGGCAGATGAAGCATAGCATGTATTCAAGGCTTTCAGGAAGACGTTTGCGGAGCAGCTCGAGAAACGAGTGTATAGCGTGCTTCCACATTCGAGCCGGCATGGAATACTCGAGAGCAAGCCGCTGAAGAGCTGGGGTTGCTGATGGATGCTGGGAGGCAAGGAAGAAGTCGTGATGCTCATGGAGCAGTGTACGGTGTAGTGCAATGAGAGCTTGCCAGTGCTTGTCTGAGAGAGGCGCCAGCTGTGTCCTGTCCTTCTCTTGGACGGCAGCCGCTTGGGCCTTATGATCCATTTGTTTTTGACCACTACCAGGCCTGCATAGATGCTCTATGTATAGAGTAAGAGTATA